GTGGTTGCGTTAAGTTCTCCCATGGCTCGGTTACCTGAGTTTCTCGCTTAAACCTAAATAGTTATGCTCAACTATTACACTATAGTGAGCGTATCAACGGCCTCCTCTTTTGAGTTCAAAGGTTCTTTGAATGTTGTAGGCTCAGAGCAAATTATGTCAAGTTTGGTACTTGTTTGCTCTCCGTTGAGTGGTCGCCTAGAATCATCACGTCCCTGCTGTGACGAACTTTCAAAAGGACGTAAAATCTGAAACTCTTTCAAAATTGAAAATCTGCAACAATAACACAGATAGGACAGATATTTGACGTAACCACGCCTAAACTGCTTAGTGATGCTTCCGTATACAAGAGGGTTAAGACAGCTGTGAAACACTGTAAGAACGAGTGAAAACTTGAATATCACCTTGGCAATTCGCTGCTGATGGGTGCTCCCAAAGTCTAGTAACATCCATCCGACCTGGCTCGGTAGCATACAGACAGCAAATATAATAACTATAATCGCTAAGGTTTTTGTAACTTTAAAGTTTTCGCGCCTCCTCGCCTGATTTTCCGGGCCATTGGGAGTCTTTTTTCCACGACGACCTGGGCAGGAGCGGTTGAGATCCAATCCGATTCTAATATAGGCTACAGCAATGATTGCTAACGGAAGAACATATTGTAGTACAAACAACGCAGCGGTATAGGCGCGTCTGTGGTCCAAACTCGGCCACGTTTCCACGCATTCCTCCGACTGCTTTGGTTTGGTTACAATCATTAGAGGGAGAACATTAGTGAGCGACAGAATCCACAGAACTATAATCCACAAAACAGCTGACTTCTGACGCATTTCCTGTTTGAAGGGATTTAAAATCACGTGACATCGATGGATTGCCATTGACGTCAGAGTATAGACGCTGACAAAAAATGAAACTGTCATCATCGGGCGGATAAAACGACAGAAGAACGCGTTGACGGGGAGGGTGTGAAACATACCGTAAATGTGAATGGGAAGGAAGAAGATTAGTGTAAGGTCCGATACAGCCAGATTCATGATAAACAAGTCATTCACTGTTTTCTTGCCTCGTTTCGCCCAAATGACAATTAAAACGAGGAGGTTTCCAATCAGTCCGATCACAAATGTTGCGATATAAAATCCCAGCCGCACGTCTCTTTCTAATGAGCTTTGCTTAGCGTGCGTGGAGTTGTCCTGAGACATGCTGTCTTCTGAGATCGTATATGGAGTCCTCTGTGTAGCTGATGGCTTTCAGTGGATCACTCTTCAAGAAGCGTTCTTGTGCTTCCAAACCCTACTCTTTATTGAAATGGAACCTAGAAGAAGAAAAAAGTATTTTAACCTTTTGGTAACTACCGTAAGATGCTGATGATCACGTTGTCAATTATAACATTATATAGTGCACAACTATCCCCCGAAGGGGGTGATGTGATGAGTGTTGTTTTAGTATTTACCAAATCAGTTGGATAAAAATGAAAAAAGTAACTTTTTTGTAAATTAAAAACATCACTTAGTAGGAAGTGTGTTTACAATTTACAAAAATTTCGGGTATTTTGTCTGGTGCGTTTTTATGATCTTGTTGCAAATTCAACAAGAAAAGAAGTTTCTACCTACCAGTAAACACCGACAAGCTGAAGTTCGTCGCTTTCTTGGTATTTGTTCGTACGACTGCTTCATTTATCGCTCAAATTTCGTCTTCCATAAATTTCTCGAAACGAGACGCCATCTTAGCTTGGGGTTGCAAAACATTGTGAATAGCCAAGGATATTCCTAGTTACGGTAGCCAATCAAAACGCGCGAAAATTTCTATTCACTGATTTGGTAAGTACTAATAATCTTTAGAACAGGACGCTTGAAGGCTATTAAGAGAGATCTTAATACATAAGCAACCAAATAAATCTGCGCGTAAAACTTAGTGGTATAGTATGTCTAATATTAATATCCCCTGCTTGTCAGGTTTAGTCAGTTTCAGATACATCTGACCAGATTTTGGTTTAATTAATCGATCTGTTAAAGCGCACTCACTTCTGTTCTTTTTTTTTGTTCAGTCTTAAATGCCCACATTTATATTGCAAAACTAATAACGTAATGTTTTAATCTCCGATAAACTGTAAGTTTATAAAACTAATCAACTTTTATGTCAGGGACTCAGCGAGGGATAATTGGAGTTGCTGAATGAAATGTCGGCCGTGTAGTCTCTTTGGCCTCCGCCATTATACATGGAATGATTCACTCTTACGTAGAAACAGAGTTTCGCCTCAAGGTATTAATTTAATATAAGACTTTCTTTAAACCATCACTAGCTGCCCTTCAATACAAAACATAACAGTTACTTCATCCTTTCTAACCAACAAGATTATCATCTCCGTTTAGCCATTTAACTTTACCCAGAAATAAAATATTGTTAGTAATTTCAAGGATATTAAATAAACCCTCTCTAGTATTATAGACGATGCCAGTTCTATTTTTTGATGGCATACGCCGAAAAACAAAATGCCTGTAAAGGTATTGAATAATTTAATTTTAAATAATTCCACAAAAATGAAAATTTGTTGAGAAATTCTGTCGAGGCAGAAATTCATTCGACTTATTCTCTTTCTAGATTGTGGCAATTTTAAGAAACAGGTCCGTCACTAATTGTTGGAATAAAATGTAAGATAAACAAGCCTTGTTTGAATTACTCACATGAACAGCTGCAAATAAACTGCTGCGCAAGTGTACGTTGTAGTGCGTTTTCCTTTCCTTTTCTGGCAGTCCAGACGTTAAATTAGGGAATTTTATGGTGTGGAAATCACGAAAGAAAGATTACTGTTGATAACCTTTGAATAATATTACCCTAGAAAGCCTGATAAATAAACTACGAGATTAAAAGTTATAGTCATCCAGAACACGCGCCGGCTTATTTAAACTTTAAGGACAATAGTGAGCCACTCAAGACAGCCTGTCGTTTTTTCCGATTTCGGAAATGTTTATGAAAATCCCCGATTCTTACCTAAGCTTTAGTTATTCAAATTAACTAACATGCCCTTTTAATAACATTGTTCAGCTGCAAGCAGGGTTAGCTCGGGCGTCTAACATTTTTTAAGCAGGAAAATTCATCCAAGATTAATTTCGCCATTTTCAATGTCCGTTCAAACAATATCGATGATTTCAATAAACTTTTTTAACTGCATTCTTTTTCAGTCACTCAAAATTCAAGTCAAGCTCTAATTGATAACAAAGTGAAACCAATACATTATTTTTCATCTTTATAGTCTCTCGGGCAACCACGACACCCTTAATTCATAATTTTGCATTAAAAACACATTCGTGATTTCTTCATTTCTTATATTTCTTCATCATCATCTTCGTGATTTTTAACCTTACCGAGCAATTAACTGACTATGTCGGTAAATAAACTACCAGTCATTAGTAACGTTATCAATATTTTGTCGTGCGATTCATTCAGTTTATAACACTGACAAGTTTAGAAATGTTTTTAAAGGTCTGTATTTTGAATTGCAGACTTATCGAGAATATGAATTAGCATTTATAAGATTTTAGTTACTTTGATCGTGAAAATCAAAATATTGATTGATACTTTTATTAATTTACAATCTTCTTTAAAAAGCTTTCTTTTTATCTTAAGCAATTCTTTACCATAACGACAATTTATTTGTAGTTAGCAATACATATTTGACTAATAGTTTACGGACAAAGCGTCTATGGTTCAGTACTGAAAAATTAGCTAGTGTTTTTATTTTGATCAAAACTTTCGGCTGCAAAGCATGAAAGGGCTGAAACACTTTTTGGCAAAAGATCTAAATAAATACGGTTGAGGTCGTTGACGGGATATGAAAGAGAGCTGTACCAATACAATAGTTCATTAGAGAATGCCGCTCTCTCGATGAAGGGAATGTCTACAGAAAGTACCTAACACGCCATAGTTGGGCCGCTAAATCTAGCTGAAATTTAACATAATAGAGTTTTAAAGTACAATTTAAGAACTGAACATTTTAAAGGATCGGAACTTTATACACTGGTCACTTCCTTCTTTCGTGGCAAAAAACTACTATGATCTGACCTTATAAATAACCAAAAATGTTCATCTTCGAAAACAAATTACCGAAATTTGTTACCTAAAGGCTTTCCTAAAACGTTTTTTTCATTATTGTTCCTGGACCATTTTTTCCAGAGTGAATGGCAAATTTAGTAAAAAAATAACACAATATACTGTTTCTTCCAGCTTATTCAAAAAAAAATTCTTGGAATACACCTGAAAGTCACTGATTCATTAGTATTTACCAAAAAATAATTACGAACGTGGCAGAACGTCTCTCTGTGAGATATAATGAATCCAATTCAAATAAAGATTCAGCTTCTGAATCTCGAGAGAAAAGTGACGGTTTCTATATTAAGTCAGGTAAACTCATATATTCCTTGTTTACAATCGGCGTGTTTGAAGTACACAGCAGTTGGACAGTAATGCGAGCAGCTCTACTTTTCCTTAGGAAAAACGAACACTTTTTTTAAAAGCTATCGCCAAAAGTGTCTCTTTTTTTCGACTCTTAAAAAAACTTATGTTTTCTTTCTCCTTCTACTTTACCTCAACTAAAAATTCTCGTTATTAATCGCGGCAACGTTATTTACTATAACAACTATAATTTGTGACTTCGAAAAAGGAAAACTTTCCCTGATGTTATGCTATCGAAATATTTTTCCTTTCAGTTTGGCATCAGTTAACTTGTTTCTTGACTAAAAAATACCTTGTAAAATGTATACCTCACCTGCTTAAAATCAGCCTATATTGAGGTGTTTTGTCGCTTCCAAATCCACTAGGCGGAATGTCTTTTTCGGATTAAAGTGTTTGATACGGTATTCGGACTGACCAGGCAAAACCTCAAGTAGTTTGCACCGTGTAATGATCTTTGGTTTAACCAGCGTTCGCTTTCAGGCTTATTTCTTGGGTATGGAAATTAATTGGGCTGCGATGTAGACGAGAATGATAAGAAAACCAATCACATTTTCAATAAGCAGACAAATTGAGAATGAAATATCTGAGATGTGCGGCCTTTTCATTGCATTCATCTTTCACACTGGCTGGCAGCAGATGGCTCGCGGATATATCCGGACATTTCTAAACAGAATGATTAACAATAGTCTGAGAACATCTATTTGAAAAGTGCAAAGCATTTGTTTGAGAAAGCTTCTCGCTGTAAAACAAATATACTAAAGAGATATCGAAAAGTGACTTGTACACTGCAGAAAGTTTCTGCTGCTTACAGTGTGTTTGCATGCTGCTCTGATGATTTTCAATACTTAACTATTATTGCTTAAAAGAGAGGGGATATTATTACGTTTCTAAAAGCAGTTTAGTGCAAAATAAATCTGTAGTAAAAACACTTTCACACTTAGTTTTGTATACAGGAAAAGCGTTTTCGTGTACAAGACCAAAATACACATCTAAGTTATAATATCAGGCTTTTTATTCAAGATGTCAGTCCCACTCTTAGCGACCATTATTGTCGCAGCAAGTGCGTCAAAGTTTTCATTTATTTCACTCAATTACTAGGAAGGCGAAGAATAAATATCTAGCTAAAACTAGGGGTAAAACGACACAGTGTCATACTGCCAGTTAACTCAAACTGAACGTTAGTTTGCTGCAATTAATTAAATCCAGCGATGTCATGATGTCGTTTTGTTGGAAATATGAGACCAACGCTTAATTCAGGTTTAATTAATGTTACTTTTCAAGCTAACCTTTTAGTTGACTATACTACAGGAAGTAAGTTATAATACACAATCGCTTTAATTAAGACAAAACCTTTTCGACTGTGCGTGTTAATTATTATGTAACGGTTCCTCTACCTCGTGAAAAGCGGTGTTTGCCGGTAAAATGGAACTGCTATAAAGCGGGGTGAAGTACCTCAAACAATGTAGAACACGAAACAGCTTTTTTTTCTTTCGGGAAATTTCAACATAAAAACCTATCTTTTATATTCAACGCTCACGAATTTTGTTTGTTTGTTTTCTAGGTTTTTCATAACTGATTTTTAGCATGTTGTTTTTCTTTCTGAAAATTACCATGATTCTACTTACATTTGCCATGGCAAGGAACTTCAGAATTCAAGTCGGTATCATTTTGTCTGCACACTTCTGTACCGGGTTCTAACGGGCTCTTGGGACTAAACTTCTGTGAAATCTTTAGTATAGTTTAACATCTTAACCGTACCTTTCTTCAACTGCGTTAAATGCTCTTCAATGGATCCTGTGGTTGTTTTTCGTTTGCCACCAATGGCAACAAAAGAGATTAGGTGTAAAACAATGTTTCAAAACAAATGATTATTTTTCCAAGGGAGTTTCTCTAATTGGGTGGTAGGTGTTATAACGAGTTCATTTATCGTTAAGAACTGGATCTTTTGCCGGTGACAACTGGCACCTTGCAACACCTTGTATAGCGAATAATTTGTGTTCAGTGTCAAAGCCTCGAATTTCGAGAAAACTAGGTAAAAATTCGTTAAAAATTCCTTTATATAAATAGTGAATTAATCACGACGTCCACAGAAAGGGCAATTCGACTTTTTTACGATATAATTTGAGAAAATTTTCCAAGAGTTTCACCGAAACGCACAATAAATATTTCCATTTGTGTTCTTGAAGGATTCACAACAAACAATTCTTTAACAAGCAGCCGAGATTATATTTTTTATCCCCCTAGATAACTACTTAAAAAGTCTGTCCAAACCGAAAATTAGTTTTTATCAACAGAGTTGAAAAGTAGATCGTCCAACGTTAACGGATTTTAAAGTTGATGCACGTTTCAAGCGCTACCACATGTAGTTCTTTGTCAAAGCAAATATAAGTAAGGAGATTCTGATACTGAGGAACAGTGGATCTTAGCTACGCTAATGGCGATGACATGTAACATAAAATCTAGAGTACGTTAAGTGAATGACGGAAAAGGTTAATTGATCCCATGAGGATTTTGAGTGCCACTTCGAAAGTCAATTTTTTGTTCTAGATTATTTCCAGCTCTACTGGTTTCAATGCGTCTTTATTATCATTTCTTACATGAAAATTTCAGTCAAAGGTATTCGCGGAATCAGTCGCGACTAATCCTCTCCCTGTTAAGAACGTTTAGGTCCTGAGTTCAGTTAAGATGCCTATGTTTTGGTCACGTTTAAATGAATCAAATAGTGGGAAATTATTTGGCTAGTTTTAAGACGACTTTGGATAAATTTGAAGTGTTTGTGGATGGATGAAGTTTTGAATTATGCTGATAACATACATATGAATTCACAAATGTTGAGAAATCGCAAAACACCAGGGTGATTAAGCGTAACATGACGTATAAGAAAACAATAGTAAAGCTTATTCTCTGTCGGTGAGACTACCTATAATGAAACAGAGCATAAGGGCTATAATGTGGACGGCAAAGACGTCATGGTTACGTCAGCTGTTACGTCGGCTTAACTTCATCACGTAACATGAGTAGACATCAGCCGATTGACAAGAACAACGTTCTTAAAAGCTTGCTTTTTTTTAAACAGACGAATCCTCAGGGACCACGCAGGGGGAGGGACTGGTACTGAAAGCAAGTAATACTAAAGACAATCGAAGTTACTCTTCTATTTTTACGTTTTACCGAAAGCTGATTATTCACTGCGGAGAACCGTTGTTAAGCGCGCGCGAGCGAAGCCCCAATCGATCCATGCATCCGAGAAATTTTGGTTGTGACGTCAACGTTCGCCGAACGACCGGCCGTTTGTACACAAGCTGGGGGAGGTGGGAAGGGAGTCAGGAGTCAGCTCGACCGGAGGGGAATATGTTGTATTTTCTTGGCGGGAAAACGTACGATGCTTCTGGGCAACCCGCGTTCTTCTTAGCGGAAAATTGCGTTGCCATCGTCGCTTTGAGAAAAAAAATTTCAAGAACTAATTTTCAGCCTCACTTCATAGTAAAACGATTGTGTGACAGCAGTTCTTTTCACTGTTCTGAAAGAGAATAGTCATGTTAACCAATAATAGCCTAGTGAATTCCACATGCAGAGGACAGTACTTTGGCGAAGAACAAAGAGAAAGTGTGAAAGGCACAGAGCAAGAACTAGAGAGGGCTAGAAATAGGAGGCGATATAACAGCGAACAACAACATGAAGCGGAACGAGCCAGGAATAGACGATGGAGGCAAAAAAGTCGCGAACAACAATGCGAAGGGAAATGTGCCAGGAATAGGCAAAGGAGGCAAAACTGCAGCGAACAGCCATGCGAGGCCGAAAGAGCGAGGGATAGAGAAAGGTGGCGAAATAGCAGCCAACAACGCGAAAAGGAACGGGTCCGGTATAGACAGAATAGACAAGCAAGACGCAAAAGAGAATAGTAAAGGCAAAGAGAGCAGCAGCCAAAGTGAAACAGTAGCATTTCAACGGAAGGTGACTACGGTGTGCTTATTTCTATTATCATACAGATGACAGGCCTTTTTTTCAATGTGTTCATGTACGCTGGCATAGTAAGGGCTAGAAGTTTAAAAAAATTCACGATATCCATCGTCTGTCGACAATAGTCTAGTTTCCAATTAAAAATTACCGCTGAATACAAACATTAACGACGCATTCACACAGGGTTAGCCTCGACTTAAAGTAAAATATTCAGAAATTTGACTACACACAATAGACAGAGTAATAACCAGGTCTTTTTCTCGTTGGAATTTGTGAATATATAACTTCAGATGGAGGCTAAGCCTGTCTTTAATTCAGCGGTCATAGCGAACTCGAAACTGGACTATTGCGCCACATAACCGTCAGAATTAAATCAAAAAATAAAATGCTTCGCCGTCGCCGCGTCTAGTATCCTCAGAGATCCAGGGGCAGTTAGTTGGGACGATACAATGTTCGTGGTGAAAGTTTACTGTAATATCGAGACAAGCAACAAAGAAAACGCTCCCTCTCTAGCGATCTATTCAATATTTCTGCATCTTTTGTTTTACTTTCCCCTATGTAAGCGGCCTGAATTCCATTGACCTCAAGTACTTTACCTGGTCCTCAACAATTGACATAAGAGGTGAAATTACTACCACCAATGGAGTGCTGTGGAAATCATAACCTTTAGCGTTTAAGGATTTTAAAACTCCAGGCAATAGTTGGAAGGTTAGACTCTTTCCGTATCCCGTGGGCAATTTCCCGAAAACATCTCTTCTCCCCACAATCTTCTCAATAATAAACCTTGGCTCCCCTTTCAACTGCATCACATAGGAAAAGAGGACAAGCTTTCTTCAAGCGCTTGCTGGAGGTCTCCCTCGAATCTAACGTTAACCCTACTATCATCTTCGGCCATTATTCGTACTGTCACCCTGAGTAAAAGGTACGATTAGTTTCGTTTGGCGCGAAAGAAAGAAGGTGCGTGCACTACAGCTCGCCGGCTTGTTTTCCCACGATCAATCGACGTAGTTACGTGGCCCGTGCAACTGAAATGTTCACGCTGTAGACAGTTTCAGAATCCGTGCAACGAACATAGAGATCTATTTAAAAATGCGAGCTTGGCGTTGTATACTATACAACGATGCTATGAGTATAAAGGTGTAGAAAGTGAAAGTCGTGCATCGCGTATCAAAATTTACGATACCTTCGACAGATCCGCCGTAAAAAGTCATCGAAGAACGTTTGTTTCTTGTAGCCGTGTTAAAGCTTGTATTTTTTCCGGTTTCGTTAACATCATTCTGAAACTTTCCTCGAGAAACTTTCCCCGTTGAACGCACTACCCAACTATGGCGATCGATGAAGAAAACTACTTCTTGAAAGAAAACATCAGAGTCACCCGGCTGCTCCTCTTCGCTGATTGTTCAGAAATTTTTTTTTTCTGGCCAATCAGAAGCAGGCAATTCAAACGCTTCTGGAACTGGTTCGGTAAGAGTAAGTGTCCAGGGGCTCGTCTCGATCTTACAGTAAACTTTCACCACGAACATTGTGTCGTCCCGACTAACTGCCCCTGGGTCTCCGAGGATGCGCGTCTAGTTGAGGTTCGTCCAGCATTAGCCTAGGACCAGGCTCCGCATTGGGAAAAAAAGGAGAAAAAATCGAGGTGGGCGAAAAAAAAAAAAAAATGGGCGAGCGAAGCAAGCCGAGAGGTAGTTTTGGGAGGGGAAAGGGTGTCTCCACCCTTTCTCCCTCTCCCGGCTCTCGCTCAGCTTGCTTCGCTCTTGCCTTTTTACCCACTGCGGAACCTGGTCCCAGGCTAGTCCAATATCGGTCTCATGCACAAGATGATCGTCATGATCCAATATGGCGTGGCTATGAACAAGAAAAAATTTATTTGTGATACAGTTGTGGGATAAATATATTTGATAAATATATTGAGATACCCTTCCAAGATGATGTTGGATTAAAATCTGGAAAATGTACGATCGTTAGACGGCCGCAAGACAAGGAGGATCTGATCTACAAGTTATAAAGCATAATTATACTTTTTACTATTAAATGTTTACGATATCACTGTTCTGTTATCAGTGTTTGAATTTAAAGATGTTGAAGAACACAGCGCCATTTTGCGAACGCGTGTTGAAATTAAAGAGACTTGGTGCAGGTTGTTCGTGATTATTCAGGCACTGATAAACGTCATTTTTTGTCAACTTTAACAGAACTTGAAGGAGCCGTTTGCTCTAGTTCTTGTGAGAGAATTAAACTTGACTGCAGTATTTAGGCTTTTTCATTTTGAATTAGATCTGAGCAAGGTTTATATATTAGTATATAATGTTGTAGATGAGGGGGTTCTGACGCTAAATCTAGCTTCCATAGTTCAGGGGAATATTTTATGTCGACGTCTGATTACCGCTACAAATTTTTGAAACGGATGATCAGGTAAAGTTCTGGCCCGGGTTGTTCAAATGTTGGATAGCGTATTCACCGGATAAATCACTATCCAGTGGAGACGTTTTAGGAAAACCAATGCGCTATCCAATGGATAGTGATTTAGACAGTGTCAGATTTGGATAGTGCCATCCAACTTTTGAACAACCCGGACCTGGACATCCTTGCTCATTCATCCTGCGGCTTTAACAAACAAGGAAGCGCATACGGTATATAGGAATACGAACAACAAAGGCGCGACTGCACAAGCTGCTGCTGTTGGAAATAAGAAAAGATCTGTTAAAAGAGATTAGTTTTTGAAAAGTGGAGGAGGTTAGTTATTGTATTCGTAATGGGTTAAAATCGCTCAGTACAATGTCTCGAGGGCAACCGAATGTTGAGTTGAGCTTTGTGTATATGTTACTAATTGCGAGTTATGATTAGCGAAAAGGTACTTTTAAATTAATTTTGTTGCTGAAAGCATGTAAGTTTCACCATACCATGTTAGTTTTAAATGTATTTCCAGCCATTTCAGCAGACCTCTCTTGCTTTAATAAAGAACTTTTCCCCAGACCCCCTCTAGTTGACGCTAACGCGTTCGAAGTGAGCCCACCACCCCCCCGCCCCCCCCCTCCCCAATTGCAAACTTGCTGCGCGGGCCCTGATCCAAACCATTAATACCAATAACAGCAGATGACATAACGTTGTTAACAAAGCTACATCAATACTGAGAAGTAACATGATCAGCATCTAAATACTAAAATAAAGTGACAGAAATCTATTTGCTTATAAAGTTAAAAAAGGAAGAATATTTTATTTCTGGGTTCTTCAGGCAACTTAGTTTGTATGTCTGTTATATTCGTTTCTCTCTTATCTACCCCCATTTGTTTGCGGATTCACATAAGTGAAATCTGACGTCTGAGCTGCAGTGTTACTACTACAAACAATTCAACATTTGAGTCACTTACATGCACTTATTCAGAGTTAAATCTGGCTTGTACTTTGTTCAAATAAGGGGCACCGTTTTTGAAGCACTGGTTATTATTATGCTGCCAAGATAGATCTAATCGGCCTCTAAGGCCTCGATGGAAGAATACTTTCAAATATAACCTTTTAAGTACTACCTAGTTCGTTTCTTATATTATGCAGTTTGAGAGATGCAACTTGAAATTCTTTGTTAAAAGTTCTATCCGCGGTTAAATTTAATAGTTATGTTCTTCCGCATTCGCGGTATTTTGGCCTTCTTTCTTTAATATGCTGATCAGTATTCAATGAAGGAAACCAGAAAACAGGGTCTTTTACCGGATCTATTTTCAGTATAACTGAAAAAAGAATTAAAAAAGGAACAGACTGAATTAATGGGAGGTTCCTGCCGAGTTGCGCTACACGTGACTTATTCATTGAAAGTTTTGTTCAGGACCGGTTTTACAGCTGTCACTTTAATAAGTTACTTGTGTAATGATCAGTATACATGTTAGCATTTTGTCGTATATTCGAGAGATGTCTGATAGAAGGCTAGAGGGCACTCCCTTTCAAAAATTTTCTAGTGAGAAGAAAAAACCTTAAAAGTGAGTCCTAGTAGGTTTAATATAGGGATCTATAAGTCAGATAGCTATTTCTACGCGGTCTCGTTAAAGAGGAAGATGTAATAAAAAAAATTAATTATCAAGATACTGACATAAGCTTATCTTTCCTTGTCGGTTTTTAGCGGCTCAAAAAATGCAATGATGTGAATTATAAACTTTTATTTGCAATAAGGAGGTATTTCATTTGGCATTGAGCGCGTTCATGTTGAATTTTATACTCTTAATTAAAGATATTGTGACAAATTATTGAAAAACAAGAAAAAATTAACGAGTTAACACTCACTAATATGAAAATCATTCAGCAGGACTGAACTGAATATTGTACGTGAATCAGTACGAACATCAGCTTCTATTCAGTTGCCTTGTCTTTACTCCTGTTCACGCTCAACTTTCAGTTTTAAATATAACTGTCAAATAACATAATTCAATAAAAAAAATAGTTTTCGTTTTACGGCCTAATTTTTTCCTTTCTTTGCAATCCAAATCTTAATCAAATGCTTTGGAAAGAACTTGCCATAATTAATAATTCATATTCATTCTAAAAAAGCTAACCTCAGATTCGTTTTTGAAATTGATATATTTACTAGAAATTGAAACAAACAGAAGAAAGCCAGGAATACCTGTAAGTAATTTACTAAAAAAATATTTCATGTCTGTCGATTGTTATTTCATGTTATTTGAACTGACTGACGATTCATTAAAAGGAAAAACCAAAGCCCTTGAATTGTTTCATTGAACATTTAACCTCAGCGTTAAGCAATCAGTGTAAAAAAAAAATAAAAAAAAAATAAAATAGAATAACAACATTGCAAATATAGATAGGAACCTACCTGCGACGCGGTTTGCCTGAATTAAAGAATGAAAACTTTTGTTCGTCATTATGTGATATACGCCGTTCCAACTACGACTCTTAAACACTTTTCAACAACCTTACCATCGAAAACCCGCTGTAAAATTTGATTCCAGCGCTTAGCTTCAGGGAAAAATGGGCCAGAGTATGTCCATATAGAAGAAAAAAGAGAAAAAGAAGCAGAATAGGATAAAAATAACAAATTGATCGATTCAAATAACATATCCCGTGTTTTTCCTATTTGCATACGAATTATAATCGAAGCGGATTACCTGCGTTTCTGGTTGTCTACAGCACGGCAGTACAAAGAGCTGGCCAGATCTACTCAACAATGCTAATGTAATTAATACCTTCTAAAATACACCCATGATTGGAAGAGTATTTTATAACAATTTCGATGGTTTTGTTTTAAATTTGCAAACGAGTGCTTCACTAAAATTAGTAAATTGTTTGCAACTGAAAACCTTGGATGCAAATTGTAAAATTTACTTAACACGCCCGTTCGGTTACCTTAAAAAATCTTGTAAACACAACTATTTACCTCTGCAGGTCCTAAGTTCCCCTAAACGCAAGTGGGGATGTAAGGGAGGGGCCCGGGAGGCCCGGGCCGCCACCTTATTTTTAGGCCATGAAAGTATTTCCGTGGCCAGGCTCACTGTTATCTTTGAAACTGTACAAGAGAGGATAAAGGGGACAGAGAAGGCATGCCCCATACACACCCTATTCGACAGGTAATTCGTCTCGAGTTATTTTTAGAATCGGGATAAAGTTACCTCGCGTGCTGCGTGGATGTTTCGTGGAGGTTTCGCATGACCAAACGTCGTGCAAAACATGTCGGGCGAAAGGCAATGAAAGCGTAAAGAGATCGAGAGCATTTCTGAATATTGAAGCGAAATGAGTCGGCGCTCACGTGGGAAAAGGGAATCCCTGGACTCTTTGACAACCCGTGAAATCAGTTTAACTCGAAGTTGTCGTAACCTCAGTGCTTTAATAAAATGAGAAATTTCGCCAGTCTATTGAAACCGGTCGTTTGTACAGTAAAGCAAGTAGGACGCCAAGTGTTATTTTTGTTGAATAATAAAAGACTAATAAAAGAACAAATATCAAACCAGAAATTGCTCTCTTCAAATGGTAAATTATAAATGATCCTGAGAGAATATTCAGTGTGTCAGGATTTCCCTGCTGTACTGCTAGCTCTATACAAGAGAGGAAGGGCGATTCTTTTTTTAATTTCCGTTTCGCTGACACAGCTTTAGCAGAAATCTCTTTTTAGTCGTTTTCGTTGACAAAACGAATGGCCGTATCGCTCTCTGCGTCTTCTTTTTCTGTCTATTTTTTCTGCGTCAATTCGTGAAGGACGCGTGGCTCTGAGCGTGGGTCATTCACTAAGAACACATTCGTGCTATGTGATTGGCTGTTGTCTAATCCCCCTTGGGATCTGTGGTCTTAAAAATGACTCGAGACGAATTACCTATGGAATAGGTTGTGTATGGGGGATGCCTTCTCTGTCCCATTTATCATCTCTTGGACTGTATTAATAGCGGAATCCCACTATCACTAAAAATATCTGAAATGTCACTGAATGCAATGTGAAAAATGATTTAACCGCGAAAATAAACAACAGAAAAGCTTTATTTTTGACACTGAATTGTCGGGGATTCGGCTACGTAACTGCTGCGCGATCCTTGGATGCGTTCTGCTGCTGGGACTGGTAATACTATAATACAGTAAAACCCTAAATTACGAAACTCTGGTGGTGTGACAAACGGCATTTATCCCAACTATGATAACGACCGTTTTTTCTTGTCCTCTCTCCGGCTTCTTTTCTGCCCACGTTCTACAGTGGTATGAACGTTAAAAGTTAATTACTGAAGTAAATTTTCAGGTGTTACATCTTCTGCGTGATGACCACGAAACTAAGGTAAGCCAAGAAAAGGCGCACACGGGCATACATGTTGGCCGGAGTTTAACCCGGTTTCTAAAGCGCAAAGCACAGTTTGGATTATAGTTA